GATTTTTTAAATTATGATTATTATTATGTGTGCAGCCATGATCTGGAGCATGATTAGGAAATGTGTTGGATTTCTTATGAGAAAAAGTAATTTTTCAAATCATACCTGTTTTTCCCAAACCAATTCATCTTTAGAGGACAGAAATAAGTCACTTTCATGCATTAAAGAGCCTCTGAAAAGAATTTGTGAAACATCTAGTATAATAAAATGAAGTACAATTTAAATGTATTTATTAATTTAATCAGAAAACTTATACTTTTGAATGTCCGACACTCAAGAAAAAATACTTTTTGCCCCCAGATTGGTGTATTTATGAATACCAGCAGAATCAAACTGGACTCAATCAGACAAACCTTGACCCCTTGGTTAAAGCATTTTAAAGGAATATGTCACTCCAAAATAGGAATTTGCTGATAATGTCTTTACCCTCAGGCCATCCGAGATGTAGATGAGTTTGTTTTTCATCACATTTGGAGAAATATAGCATTACATCACTTGCTCACCAATGGATGCTCTGTTGTCTTCCGCATCAAAATCCACCCATATATTTGTTTAGAGCTGTTTTGGACTGTTTAAACGGTGCTTGATCTGTGCAGATTTCTCTCCTGATTCATACCAGACCACTTTTCACTGGAGAAAGCAATTATGGATATGGACTTTAGTGTTTTAGCCAGAAGCAATGTTTTGACGTTAAAAATGTCTTAATGCTGGATTTGTTTCAGCTTTTGCCTTCTTAAGAGGTTAACTGATGGACTGGAGTGCTGTGGATTACTTGTGGATTATTGTGATGTTTTTATCAGCTGTTTGGACTCTCATTCTGACGGCACCCATTCACTGCAGAGCATCCATTGCTGAGACACTGATGCAATGCTACATTTCTCCAAATCTGATGAAGAAACAAACTCATCCACATCTTGAATGGCCTGAGGGTGAGCACATTTTCATTTTTGGGTTATTACTCTTCCTTTAACACTGGGTGTAAACAGGGCCACAATTCTTCAGTACGCCTCTGAAAATAAACATGTGCTGCATATGTGTGTGTGTGTGTGTGTACTGCAACACACAGAGATGATTGGCAGGCAAAATGTAAAAAGGTTAAAGGTTATGCTGATACTGATGTTGCAATAGCTTTAATGTAGCTAGAAAAGAAAGTTTAAAGAGGTCCAACCTCAGAGGACGAGCTTTTTTCACTCATCATTCTGGAAAATCAGATACATGACTTATCGCATGTTGCAACTGTACTTGTCTGGAGGAGATGCAATAATCTAAACCATCTTAGCGAAAACACTGAACCACTCACGGTCTCTTACGCTGGATCTGCTCCAACTGAAAACAGCTTAAGGTGAGTCAGACTTCATGAACATGCCCCACTTCCAACGGCATGTGAATGAACCCCATATTCTGCAATGTCTCTCAATGTAAAAGATCTTGCAATCTACACTCAATAGTGTTGAATCACGGCAACCTGTCAAAACAAAAGCACTCTGACTTCCATAGAATGATGCAGTTGTAAGGGAAACAATGAGGAAAAAATTGCAAAATAAGATCAGGAACTTGTTCACTTCAAATTTTGCCTAATTTTAGACGTTCCCATGAGACGCTCCATTGGCACTCAAAAGTACATGTTCGTTTTATCGGTGGTAAAGACCCCAAAGTGCTGTTGTACTCAGTTGACAGTCTCCAGTGGGAAGAACTATTTGCATGGGTAGAGCTGCCAAAGATCAGGTCATGCTGCTCTGCTGTGAGAAATAAAAGCTGAGGCAGACTTCATGTAAACCAGATGTCACTTCACTGAAGAACTACACTCCGCTCTTACACGGTTTCTTCAAGCACAGTACAAAGACTCACTGCAGACGAACAATGTGTACAGTACTATAAAATAACAATGTGGGCCTACTGACAAAAAGCACATACAGTTTAATTGTTTTCAAAGAACATGACTGTTCTGTTATTCAACAAAGAGCATATGTCGTTTTCATTGTTTTTTTTCTTGTAAATCCACAGAAACAGATAATGGCGAAAATGTTTTTCCCAAAGCAATTTCTCAATAAAACATATAACATCTAATATTTTAAGCCAATCTAAATATAAGCACTGCACAAGAGCACAGATACATGCAATTTGACCAAAAATGGGAATTTATATAAAACAAGTTAAAAGCCATCCCATAAAAGTTCAATGTGGCTGTATTTTATTGAGATATATCAGAGCACTTTGCCTCTAGATCTAAACATTGTTAAGCTTGTTACTGCAACAGATTCTCTGAACCCATCTGCAACAGGCAAAGAAGCCAAAGGGAAGCAAAGATACACAAGTAATACTGTTGTGTTTGGGAAGACTACTACTTAAAAAAGCAAATGAGCCATTGTGGCTGCTCAAGATAAATCAAAGCACACATTTACTGCCTATAGATTTCAGACTTTATCGCACTGATTTGGTTTTCAAAGCCGATATTTAGGACTCTTTGCCATTTTGCAATGTGGTTTCAAACCACCTACCAATGTGGTCTGTAAAAAAGGATTTCAGGTGTCAAAAAACAAAGTCTGCCTTTTGCTGCCTGTCCGTTTCATTGTCCAAATAATAGAAAGAGCAGTGCTCTAAAAGACACAGCTGAACTGCTTTATAGGAGGAGCTTTATAAACTCCAGATTCCTGAGAGGTTAGGTAACTGTTACAAAGAGAGCTCCCCTTTGGGCTGGCCAACACAAACATCTACAAATTTGGTGTTTTGGTTTCTCAATATTGTGGCCACAGTTTGATTTTAAAAAAAAGAAGAAAAAAGCATGCATTAATTTTTAAAGAGGTGTTTGTTGATTTGTCTCTGATCGTAGATGCCTTAATAATGCAATTTCATTAGTTCACATTCCTGATCTTTGCAAAGCTACTTCAAAAAAGCAAGCACTTTCACAACACCTTGGTATTTCCCGGCACTTTTGACACGTGTGAGATTAATGCCACATTAATTTATCCTGAACATTTAACACAACAGGTTGCACTTCAGAAAGTCCCATTTACTGAATTGCACATTCATTTGTCATTGTAAGCATACAAACACAATTTTTCAATCAGTTGACAATGACAGCAACAATGCACATCCATTTGGGCCTCCTATTATCCTCATCCCGTTGTGCACTTTACTGCATTTCATTATTGTCGTTTTTCCAGTGGTATTTAGTGTAGAGTACATTGGTTTGAGGATAATGCATTTATTAAAGTCAGGATCAGCAGCTAAACCACCGTATGAGTTCAATATCTTCAGTTGTCTTTAGGGTTAGTATTTTATATTTGTATTGGATTCTGCAGTGGAGGAAAGCGGACATTCCACAAAGACTTCCCTGCTGTCTGCTGCTGAAACCCTGCGGCTGGCAAGAGCTCAAGCCAAGTCATCTGTCTTCAACCTACCAGCGCTGTCTGCTGCCTTCAATGAGCTGAACCATTAGATCCTCCTGTCCACTCTCTCTGCATGTCTGATCTTCAATCAACTAAACAGAGTCCATGTCGCAGGCTTCTTGGTCTCACTCCGCTGGTTATCTTCAGCCGGCTGCATTAAATTCAAGGTTTGTGCATCAGCCTGTCACTGGAATGGCGCCAGCCTACCTCAACACACTCCTACAGGTCTATGTTTTTTTCCCATTCTCTATCATCACGAAGCAAGTGTCACTTGGTGGTTCCATCACAACAATGTACAAAGTCGCTTTCCAGAACCTTCACTGTCTCTGTTGCTCTGAGGAGGATCAAACATCCAACCTCCGTTTGATCTGTTCACAACCTTCAAGAAACAGCATCATCCACTAATCACTATAAATGCATTTCCATTAAAAATAGTTTTTGTTCTTGCTTGTGCATTTTTTTTTAGCTCTAGTTTCTATGCAAGCATACTCTTGAAACTTGGCATTGCTGCAGGTATCGTTCAAGCTCCTGTAAGATAAATTGATTGTGAAGTTCCTCATACAAAACATTTGATAAATGACTAAATATCAATTTAGTCATTCCAACCATATTATATGAGAAGTTATGGTATGGTGATTTAAAAAGAAAGAGCCAATCTCAATGCTGAAACATTAGGCATGATATACACTAGTCAACATTTGAAATGGATCAAAACCTTTCATCAAAGTTGTCCTAAAACCAAAATGCGATCTTGTTTTAGTACAACTTTGATTAACTTTTTTGATCCACTTCAAAGGTTGACTACTATATATCTACTGCCAAGATCAAATGCTAATTGTTAACTTTAAAGATAGCTGCTCGGTTAAAACTGACCATATGCACTCTAAAATGACTGTGCAGTTTGCATGAGAGCTCATATTAATTACAAGACTATATTAAATATTCGCATATCTGGAAAAAAAAAAAAATGTCACAACACATGATAATTTAAAATGCATACAGTTGATTAAAAGTCGAGAAAATCTTAAAAGACATAGTGAGAGCATCACAAATTAATTAAATAAATAAATAAATAAACACTGTTCCTAGTAAAATATATTTAATATATCATGATGTTTATGTGCATTTGTCAACAATGCATGAAAAACTCATATTCGAGAAATAAAATGACTGTGCAGTTTGCATGAGAGCTCATATTAATTACAAGACTATATTAAATATTCGCATATCTGGAAAAAAAAATAATATGTCACAACACAAGATAAATTCAAATGCATACAGTTGATTAAAATTCGAGAAAATCTTAAAAGACATAGTGAGAGCATCAAAAATTAAATAAAAATAAAAATAAATAAACACTGTTCCTAGTAACATATATTTAATATATCATGATGTTTATGCGCATTTGTCAACGATGCATGAAAAACTCATATTCGAGAAAAGACAGAACAATCTGGATGGCCTGACCAGACAAGCCTCATGATTTATCAATTGCTTTGACATTTGCAAACTTCTATTCAAAATCTGTTTAGTCATAAGAGACTGACGCCAGAACAACAACAACAGCTTTAGTTTGAAATCTTCATATAGACTGTATTTTTATAAACTTACCTCAGATTTACAGAGATTGTGCGAAAGAGGAGCATCCGAATGAGGAGACTTTCTTTGAAGCCACTTCCTCGGTGAGAAGATGTTGCTTGAACCAGAGATGTTGAGCGATAAATCCCTGGACGCGTTGCGTTTGCCGCTCCTGTAGTCGAAATGAAGACTGGAGATCGACGAAGCGTCTGAAGATGCCGACAAACTCGAGGAAGAAAGACGCGGCTTGAGTCTGGGGTCCGCGGCGAGGCTTTCTGAAGTGCTTTGGCTGTTAGTAAATCCAGCTGTGGAGCTCGAGCTCCAGCACAAGGAGCGATGCCCGTCGGCGTCTCCGGGCGTCCCGCAGTTTCTGACCAGCGCCGAATCCAAACTGCGAGTCTGGTGCAGTTTCCTCTTTGCGAGGGTTTTAGAGCCCGATGAGGAACACGAGAAGACGCTGTTCAGTAACCCTTGTGCGGACATCCCTGCGAGATGATACAGACTGACGCCCCAAACACAAACCCCATGTGAACTGAACGACTGCTGATGGTCGTCTTTCATCCACAGTTTAATGAAAAATGTGAAAACTGATCAAACAAATTAAATTCTCTCATCCATCTCTGCTGTATTTGTATTTGCAGATAAACGGGGATGTTTCCACTATTCGAGCCAAAAAGTGCGTCTCCGCCGACGCGCCCGCCCTCTTTAACCAGTCTTCCTCCGCCCTGCCTCCGAAGAGTGTGTCTGAGAAACTGAGGTTGATTGACGTTTTAATTATATGTTTTATTTACGTAATAACTTTTAGGGGAATCTAAAAAGAATGATAGAATTTCTATCGGGGCGCAATCTGTCCAAGTTCGTTTCGCGCAACTCAAATTGTGTTTTGGCGCATGGACTGGCGCTACGGCGGTAAAGTTAGTTTGACGTTTGACATTCATTAGACATTCGGGTTTTTTGCCAATTAAACTCTTTGCAGCTTTTATGTTTTGAGCCCAAACTAACTCAGATAGACATAAATATATGCCCTTTATGTTGCACAAGAATTAATTTCTAGGAATTAAAAAAAAAAAATAACCTTTTAATTAATTAAACAATTTAACTACGTGACATTATAATATAAAACCAAAACTAAAATGTTCGGGAAAACATACCTGTTATCGCACAAAGCTCCGTTTTTGGAATTACAATTTTATGTTTTTTATAATAATTTTACAACTTTTAATGTATGCAATAATATAAATCCATTAAACGACAACACCATTTGATCTAAAGGTATCAAACAAACTGTAAAATATTCAGAATATTATTCCCTATAATGCACAAGTCTTGGTTTTCCAGATTATGCCTTTACTGTTTTTATATACAGTACTGAATCCATATTTGTCATGTTTATTATTCTGTACCCACTTAAATTAATTAAACTCTGACACAGTTTGAGATAAAGCTATCAAACCAACTGTAAAATATTCAGAATATTATTCCCTATAATGCACAAATCTTGGTTTTTCAGATTATGCCTTTACTGTTTTTATATATAGTACTGAAACCATATTTTTTTCATATGTTTTATATACTGTACCCACTTAAATTAATTAAACTCTGACACAGTTTGAGATAAAGGTATCAAAACAACAGTTAGTTTGGGCTCAAAACATAAAAGCTGCAAAGAGTTTAATTGGCAAAAAACCCGAATGTCTAATGAATGTCAAACTAACTTTACCGCCGTACTGGCGCTCAGTTCGCCAAACGTCAACTATCCTATAAAACAAATATGTTTGTAAAATATAGTGCAAGTTTGTAAAATATTTTGCTAAATATTTGTGGTATACATTATATATTAAATTGATACATAAACGTATTTGAGGTTTGTTTTATTTGTTAATAATTATCTTAACCTAAATTAAATGCTGGAGCGGCCTACTGTTGCAAATGCCATTTCTGGATAGGCGTATCGATCCTGAAGTGATATAAAATACTGATACTTGTCGAAAGTATCGATGCTCAAAAAAAAAAAAAAAGGATACTAAGGTGTGTTTTTTTTTAACCAGTGTTTTTGTTTATTTAACAACATTTTAATGCGTGCAATATGCATTGAATTGGACGAATAATAATTGGGATGGATATAACTATTTTCCTGCTCATCTGAACACATGCAAATGTTGCAAGACAGAACTAATCAACCAGAGAGAGCGTTCACTCACTTCTGGCAGTGCATTCAAACAGGGCTGCGTTTCCCAAAAGTGTCATAAGAAACCATTGATGCTTTTGGGAAACGCAGCCCAGAACAATGCATATCAGAGGACAGAAAAAAAACATACATGTTTGAGTTATTTCACAATAAACAAACTGAAATTGTAGCCTATAGTTTGTGCAATTACATTGATTTAAATTGAATGTTAAAAGTTCATATTGATCATGTTCTATTCTGTAATGTTAATATAAACCATACACCGTCAGAATAAAAAGGTTGCATTTTATGCGTGCAACAGCCTTTCACTGGCAGTCCCTGATGAAAATGAACCATGGTTTTACTAAAGTGACTGTAGTTCAATAGTATTTGTAGATTTCCATGGTTACCACTACAGTAAACATATTTAAACCACGTGTAAACCAAAGTATAAATTGCAATTAAGTCGTAATTAATATTAAAATGTGTTTCAAATAATATACATTAATAAATGTAATCATTTAAAAGTTCAGTTTAGAAATATTGTATCGATATCGACAATACTGGCTTTTAAAAGTATCGGTATCGTATCGAAAACAAAATAAGTGGCATCGTCCAGATTATTAATATACAGTACTGTGCAAAAGTCTTAGGCCATTAGTATTTTCACCAAAAAAAAAGGTTTTAAGTCAGTTATTTCTATCTTTTGCTGTAGTGTGTCAGTAGGAAATATCAGTTTACATTTCCAAGCATTCCTTTTGCCATTAATTGTAATAATCCAGTGAGATTTTTATATGCACAAGGAGTCTGACAGCAGCCAGTGCTGCACACAGAGATCTGATCTCATCATCATCCAGTCCGTCTGAGATTACTTGCAGAAACAGAAGAAACTCAAACAGACTCAATCCAGAAGAACCTTCCTGCAAAGCTACCGTACTGTGAAAAGTTTTAGGCACTTGTGTAAAAATGCTGTAAAGTGAGGATGCTTTCAAAAACAATGTCATAAATAGATTTTATTTAAATTAACTAATCAAATCAATATTTGGTATTACCATACTTTGCGTTTAAAGCAGCTTTTGTACTCGGTACACTTGCACATAGTTTTCAGGTAGCTTTGCAGGTAGGTTTCTTGAAGCATCTTGGAGACGTTGCACAGTTCAGAAATAATGTTTTATATTTTGTTGTTTTAAATTTTTTACTTTGAAGAACCAAATTCAAACTTGATTGAGAAAATACAAGTTGCGTTATATCTAGTTATGTAGAAGAAGATATTTTGAAAAATGTTGGGATCCGAACAGTTGATGAGCACCATTGGCTTCCATAGTAGGAAAAAAAATTACTATGGAAGTCAATGGTGCTCATCAACTGTTCGGATCCCAACATTTTTCAAAATATCTTCTTTTGTGTTCAACAGAAGAAAGAAACTCATACAGGTTTGGAACAAGTGGGGGGTGAGTAAATGATGACAGAATTTTAATTCTGAAAATGAACTACTCCTTTAACGCCTCAGTGGCATGTTTTTTTGACTGTTGAATTGCTTTAGTAACTCTTCTTCCTGTCATTCCAATTGAACTCTTAACTCATGAATGGAAAGGAAGCCAATTCTTCTGAATTGTTTCCAGCCTGCAACTCACTGACAGAGTAATGTTGACTGCTTTGCTTGTTCACCACAACAGCACAATGGTCTCCACAGAGAATTGAGTTGGATATTATGAAGAAAATATAATCTTTGGTCACAGTTCTTCACTTCACTTAATTTATACTCACAGCAAGACAGCAATCAGTTCCCAAGGGTTGTGCACTTAGTTATTGATATTTTGATATATTTCACAAAGAAAAACCACTTTTCCCTTCAGAATAGAACAATCCATTTTAATTTGACTATCATAACATTGCATGACTTCATAAAAGTTCAGATCCGTCTTCACAATGGGGAAATGGGATGGATGTGACTGCTGGGGAAGACAAAGAAGAAGAAAACAGAGGTTTAAAACTCCATAGCATAATAAAAGCCAACAAACCCCCCCCCAAAGAGACAAGATTTTGCGTTAGATCTGCAACATATTATTCCAGAGTTTACATGATACCCCCAGAGCTTCCCGACATGGGGTTGTTATCTCATTTTAGCACAGGAAAAAGGATCTCCAAAGACCTCTTTTAAGGTCTGTGAATGTAAACAAATAAGGGTGTAACCGAGAGCATTTCAGAAGGTCTCCATACAGTAAAGATGGATGGATGTGTAAGAAACATCTACAGTTCATAATCAAAATTTTTACAGACAATAGTGATACCAATGGATATCAATGAAGTAACAATTGGAACTCAGCTATTGCTTGCTCACTGTAGAAGCAGCATGCATTGAACAGTCGGTAATATTCAGCCATGTGCTTTTAGACACTATTTAAATTGTCGCTTCAAACCTGTGTGCATTTTGTTGTTCTGTGAGACACCAAAGAAGATATTTTAAAGGACATTGGGGTTCAAAACATCATTGGACCCCATTGAACCCCATTGACGGAATGCAAATGACTTGCCTTAAAAAAAGTTCAAAAGTCCCAGAGTTTTGAAGGTTATAAAGTTATTTAGTACCTGAAGTAGTGGTGTACGATATTTATCATCTATGTCTATTGTTTTAACGATGTGTGAGCTTACGTCCAAAAGCATCGACTGCGTGATGTAACCTATCTGAATGTAGTTAGAATGACCCTATAATTCAGCAAAAAATACCCCTGTATGGGATTTTGTTTTATATATTTAATAAGATATGAATATTACACAAGAGTGCCGTTTTAACGAATACCAGCATGTGAGCGTGATTGCGAATGAGATTGATTTTATACAACAGTTCAACAAACAAGAAGTTAATATTGAGTGAGTTACATTTTACACACAATATTGTCTGTTTTTTTATTTTTATTTTTTGGTTTCGGCAACAAAAAGAGCGCCAAAGCAGAAGCAGAACATTTGTGCGTCTCAGAGCAACACTGCGTTTCATTCCTGAACGAATCCTTTTTGAACAAATTACTTGAGTCAGTGATTCAATGATCCATTCAAAAAGACAGTCATGCCTTGTCCAAATGCCCGCTCTTGCGGTCTTTGCACTTGACCACTTGACTACTTATATGACGTATTTCCTGTATTTGGTCCAAGTGTTCAAGTGAGCATGAAGACCACAAGTGTGTGTATAACTTTTCATTACCTGATGGGACACACTTATAGTGTTGTAAAAATGCAAGTGTTTACGGAGCTTTATTTTTATTTTCAATACTTTGCATTTTGAAATCAACTTCTAAATGTCTGTTCAGTAGTCAGATGACACAATTTAATTTTGTGGTGCTTCTAATTAAGTGATAAAAAGCAGTTGCAAACGTTGTACAAAATAAATATCACCACTACTCATTTGCACCAATAAAACATGCAACTCTTTGTTTTACTACCAAATTATATGTAATATCTAATTATTATTCATATTTAACATACATTGGAAAGGTTTCCGTGACTTCTCGCGAGATCTCGGCAAAAGGTCTGAAGACCGCAATTGTGGGTATTTGGACAAGGCTTCACTTGCTTTGTTT